CTTTATTTGAAAATATAATATATATATAATAAAATATAATAAAAAATCACCCTTTATGCATCACTCAATTATAACTATATATACTGTTAGATTATTGTATATGTATTGAGTACTTTCTGACTTACAACTAGTACACAAAATGCACGTATTAGGTATCGTAAGACTCTATCATTGCCTGAGAAATATGGTCAGGATAAATTGATTGCTATTAATGCTGAGTTTTACATGGCCACAGTTAGCCCATACTAACTTATCTATAGGAAAGTTCATTCCTAAGCTATCAGTGGAAGATATATGTAACTGTAGCTACGATCAGCTATGCCTACAAGAGTCGTACATAAAGATACATATATACATATATCGAGTTAAAGAAAGGCAACTAGCTCTAAGGCCATTCCCCCATTCGCTCCCCATTTATTTAATGATCGCAGCTTGATATTGTGATCTAACCATGCTTAAGTGCGCAGCTCAACTAATGGCCATGATAATGCCATTCGTAATTGCAGTAGCTTCCATAACAATAGCCGCAATGAGCTCATACAGACGCACAAAAACGAATTTCCCTCTAATTTGTTATATTCCGATTCAATTTGCGTGATTATTAATTTGAGCATGGGACCGGAAGCGAAACCCAATTGATGCACATGAATTGACTGACATAATTTATTAGATTGTTAACAGATTTAGCTGAGTTCACACGCTCTCGGAGGTAGGCAATGAACTCGTAAATTGGATTTATAAACACGCTCCACACAGCGCATATCCCAGCAGATACTACGCACTCATAATTTCATTCAAAATTATCCAAATTGAAATATATTTACACGTCGGAATTTATCTACATATGTATATAATTTGTTGTTTTCGTTTCGCAGGTCAAATGTTTCTTATGAATCGATTTTTCGATGGTGAATTTATGACATTTGGCTTGGATGTGATAGATTATATGGAGACCGATCAGGAAGATCGCATGGATCCGATGATTTACATATTTCCCAGAATGACCAAATGTACATTTTTTAAATATGGTTCAAGTGGGGAGGTGAGTAAAGTTCAAATTATTTATGCTTGATTGTGGATATAATTAAACATCTGCTTCTTCTTCCTCTTTGAATAGGTGGAAAAACACGACGCCATTTGCATTTTACCATTAAACGTTGTTAATGAGAAAATTTACATTTTCCTTTGGTTTTGGTTTATATTATTAACGTTACTCACATTATTAACGCTAATATACAGGGTGGTTATTATATTCTCGCCTCGAATGAGGGTATATTTATTTCGAATGCGATTTAGGTGAGTGACACATATCATGGTGAATGCGATGATCTAACGTTTTCTAACACTGGTCTCTCCGTTTCACTTCACAGGTTAGTGCGTCGAGACGCAATTGAAATAATCGTTCGTCGTTCCAAGATGGGCGATTGGTTTTTGTTGTATTTATTAGGTGAAAATATAGATACAGTTATATTTCGTGATGTTGTACAGGATTTAGCAAATCGCTTAGGACATAACCAACACCACAGGGTGCCTGGATTGAAAGGTGAAATACAGGATGCATGATATTGGGAGTATTAGAAACAATACAAAATGCAATATGTCGTCTCAATATGAAAACCACAACAACAACAACAACAACAACGTTCAACTATTTAGTACAACAACAACAACAGCAGCAGCAGCAACCGCTTCATAAGTTCAACACAAAACTGAAAAAAATATAAAACGTATCTTACAAATACAACCAAAAAAACTATCGTCAATGCTAGCACATCGAAGCCATTTTCAATCAACAAGAGAGTAAAGCACAGAGTCGCCTCAGTAACGATAACGATAACGATAACGAAACAGATACCGATACCGATCAACGATCACCGATCAACGATAAGCGATAAACGAGTCGAGATAACGACAAGGTTTAGGATAAACAAAGGCTATAACAATAGACCAAAGCACACAACGAATGAAAGCGGACTAAGCCGAACCAGAGTTAAAGTCAAAGGCAAGGAATACGAAACCAACAACAACCTAACAACCAAACAACAACAACAATCAACAACAACGAATATTAAAGTCAAAACCGATAGACGAAGCACCGGATATGGATGAATACCAATCACGAGTAGCAGCCGAAGGGAAAGGAGTTTGGGCGCATCAGCCGCCATCTGGCTGCTGTGCCCAAGGACATCGCGAGCAGGTTGCACGTGGCGCCTGCAGCTGCCCGCATGCCCCATGGATTCAAGTCAAATGTTATGAAAATAGTATGTTGCCCAGAGACAAGGACAAAGTGTGTATGCGAAACGGAAGAAGGAAATGGAAGAAGGAAATGGAAGAAGGAATGGATTCGAACCGCACGAAGGGAATGGAAAGTCGAGGAACATCTACAACAACAAGAACAACAACACTCTTTCTCTCTCTCTTATTCACACCCACACAAGCTCACTCACACACACACACAAACATACTCGCTCTTTCACAATTTCACACACACACACAAAAACACAAACATAAAACATTTACGCGGCATTACTCATACGCCCCGTAGACGCCCCCCATCACAACATCGCACACACTCGCACCTGCTCCTCACTTTGCTTGTCATGCAGCAACACAACAAAGACACCAACGAAGTCGAGACGACGCCCGCGAATATAATTGCATTTCTGTATTAAAAACCCCAATATCAACAACATCGGCAGCTGCAACAGCAGCTGCGAACATCACGAAACACCAACACCAACACCAGCAGCAGCAGCAGCAGCAGCAACAACAGCAGCAGCAACAACAACAGCAGCAGCTGCGACTGTTTCACAGAGGAAGAAGAAGAACGAATGGAGAGTAGCTTAAAACTCATCTCTCATTTATAAAAAGGAAAACGAAATTCGAATAAATTCTGAACAAAATTGAGTGAATATAAAAACTAAAGTAAAACGAAATTAAGCTACAGAAAAGAAAAAAAGAAAAAAAAAAGAGAATGAGAGTAAAACAAAAGCAGGCAAAAACAAAAGCTAGATTAAATTCAATTCAATTAAATCACTTATTAAAACCAAATACAAAAAACAAAATAAAAATGATATCTTGAAGTGTTCATGTATTCGAATCTAGGTTAACTAAGTACAGCATATAAAATAAATCTAAATATTAAACTTACTTATACTTAAATATATACATATATATGTATATGCGTACACATATGCTATATATATGGTACATATATAGATAAAGATACAACTTTTTTTTCTTAATCTAAGCATTTGTATTACCCGCTAAAAAACAAACAAAAAAATAAAAATACCAAAAAAAAAACAAAAAACCAAAATATATAAAATTAAAATACAAAAAAAAATACAAAAAAAAATACAAAAAAGAAAAACCAATTTTGTATGCAAAAAGAAGAGGAAAAATTATACCAAAATCTAAATGTAAAGAACAAAAAATATCAATAAATATCAGCGACAGTTTAGTAAAATGGAAACAAAATACCAACTACAACAAATATGCATTAAAATACTAACAGCAAGAAAATACCAGAAACAAAAGCGAAAACTCCAAATGCCGAGGATACACAAACACATACACACACACACACACACACACTCACACACATACATAGTTAAATTAGGTCAATCTGTAGCGCGCATCATTAAATATAAACAAAAAAATAATAATAATACAACAAAAGAAAGCAGAAAATACTAAACACACACTCACACACACACATTCATAAAGCTTATTTTTCAATTATAAACACACACACACACGTACACACATATAAAATTGCAAACCAAAACATGAAGCTTTTATTTCCTTTCCGTCATTATGAAAAATGTTTGTTCACTGTGTGAAGTTTTTAAGCAAACTCATCAGCATTTATAGCATAAATTAAATATTAAAAAAAAGTAAGGAAAAAAAAAAAGAAAACACAAGCAAACAAATGAGAATACCGTGCAAATTACATAGTTCATAATAATTCCAATTGCAGACATATTTAAGCCACACCTTATAGACCAAGCAAAACAAACCAAAAAGCAAGAGAGAAATATTAGATAATTATCATAAATTTAGCATGAATTGAAAAACTCAATCACACACACACACACACACACACACACATGAGCGAGCTGTCGGAATGCTGTGGAACCAAAGTTAAGTCTCACATAACTCGTTAACTTGTTGTCTATACAATCATATCTATATCTGTATATATGTATATGTATGTGTGTATGTATATATAGAAAGCGAGTCTCGCTCTCTATCTCATATATATATA